AAAGAAATATGTGGTCAAGTGGAGAGAACCCTGGGCTAGGAAGCAAGGGCTGTGTGACCCTGTTGAGAAATCTGGAGGGCTGGGTTCTAACTGCCATCAGCTCTGGTAATCTGTTCTCCGAAGCACCTTCTTGATCATGTCACTCCTCTGCTCACTCCTGTCCAGTGGTTTCTCATCTCACAATCAAAGAGCAAATGAGACCCTTGCAAACACACCCATCTCCCTGCTGTCTGTGGGACACTTTGACCCTTTCGCACTCCAGGCCTCTTCAGGGCGTCCACAGATATGTTTATAGAACTATCCTTGTCGTGTTGCCATTTCAATAGGGCGTCTACAGTGAGATGCAAGAAGTGTCCCTGACATAGTTAGGGGTTGTGCTTTATGCTATTTGGGGAAGGGCATTGAGCTGCAGCTTCATGTTTTAATCCTTCTCATTTTAATGATACATCTTGGAAACTCACTTGCAGAGAGGCCATAATGAGGATGTCACTCCATGCAAATGAGATGGCCATTTCCCTAATTCCTCCCAGTCCAGACTCTGTTTTCTCAGAGTAACAAATGTAACAGAACATACTAGCATTTTAATATGTCATTGATTTAGGGCCAGGCCAGGTCAAACCATCTTGTGCCTGTGTAAGTTGTTAAAAAGTCAGTTCATTTTAAAAAATGAAAACAGTTCAGTAATATGAGGATCCAGTAAAAATTGCTAAAGGAGTATGCCAGGGCCTACTGGCAGCAGATTTAAACATGTGGATTCCAGAGACACTCCTTTTGCTCCAGAAGCTCAGTAAAACCATACCTGAAAATCTGACTGTCAATACCTTTTAACAAATTTTATTGCTGTATTTATTGCCTTTGTGAGGAATGGTTTTACAGATAAGATTTTTTTCCAAACCATTGACATTTCAATGAAATGCTAATCTTCATTTGTTTTGTTTAGCAGGGGAGAATTTAAAATTAATACCCTGCTAATCAGCCCACTGATTTTTGCCTACTGCAAAATGTGTAAGGAAACAAATATTGTCTTTTTTAAGCTGAAAATGTACATCCTATTTTTTTTCAGTCCCATGAAAACTTAAGTTATAAAGTGCTAGGATTTAAAATTTTTATAATATATACTGATTCTATATTATAAAATTTATAAGGAATTCTGATCTACAGAACGTTTTTATTGTAGAAATTTGGCAAATGCAGAAAACCAATAAGAAAATTAAATTGCAGGCTGGGGGTGTGGCTCAAGCAGTAATGCGCTCGCCGGGCATGCATGCGGTGCTGGGTTCGATCCTCAGCACCACATACAAATAAATAAAGATGTGTCCACCGAAAACTGAAACATAAAAATTATTTTAAAAAAAGAAAATTAAATTAGCTTTTAATGCCACTGCCCAGGGCTAACAAGGTTTTAAATTTATTTTTTAATTGACACATAATATTATACATATTTAGGGGGTACCATGTGATATTTCTATATTCATATGCACTGATTGTTTGCTGATATAAAAACGTGGATATGCTTTCAGATACTGCAGTGTTCACCTTCTTTAGACTGTGGAAGCTTCCTTTGCCCTGTAATTTCTTTTTATTTCATGAGCAGTGTTTTGAAAGGCTTATTCTATTTTTACTGCATCCTATTATTTCAGTTAATCTTTACCAATTTGTTGGATTTCAAATGGAATTTTATTCTTTTAATTTGCATTTTTTAGGATTTTTTAAAAATGTGTTTTAGTCATGGTAATTGTTCTTTGTGAATTGCCTAGCCTATTCATGTCCTTTCCACTGTATTAAAATGATCAAATTTCTTTTAATGACTTATAAGAACTTTAAATATATAGGATGCTAATTCCTTTGTCACATATCTTGTAAATATGATTGATCAATTGCCTTTGAATCCTATTTAACACAATATTGGGGAAATTTCTAAAATCTTATTAACCAAATCTATCAGGTAATTCTAATTTTCCCCCTTTTTCTCTATGCTTAGACTTGTTTCCCCAGCCCAAGATCAAACATTTACTCATATGTTTTTCTAGTATTTGACTTTTACCTTTAACATTTAAGACCGCTTGCCCAGCACATGCGAGGCTCTGGGTTCGATCTTCAGCACCACATAAAAATAAAATAAAGATATTGTGTCCATCTACAACTAAAAACTAAAATATCTTTTAAAAAATGATTCAGGGCTTTAGCTTTTTTCCCTCTGAACTAACCAACTGATCAAGAACTGTGTCATGTGTAATAGTACCCTTTAACCTTTCAAGAATGATCTGTGCCATATATTCTGACTTACATTCACTTTATCTTTGGTTATGTGGAGAAGCTGTTTATATGCATGCCAGTGTGACACCATTTTCATTCTTGTGTCCATGCATTTGAATCCTCTTTCTTTCCATACCACTTTCTCCTACTAGGATTCTTTTCCAGAATGATTTTGGCTATTTTCTTTCTCCTTCTCTCCCTCCCTTTCTCCCTTCTTCTGTTTGCAGTGCTGGGGATCAAACCCAGGGGCGTCACACATGCCCTACCATGGAGCTACACCCCCAGCTCTTGGCTATTCCTTTTTTTTTTTTTTTTTTCAGTTGTAGTTGGACACAATACCTTTATTTTATTTATTTATTTTTATTCGGTACTAAGAATCAAACCCAGTGCCTGGGTGAGCACTAGGTAAGCGCTCTACCGCTGAGCCACAACCCCAGCTCCTTGGCTACTCTTCAATACCATTCTCCCACATGAACTTCAGAAATATTTACTCGAGTCCTTTCAAGTCCTTAGTAGTATTTTTTAAAAATTGGGATTATAGCAGATTTATAGATCAATATAAAAAGAGTTGACATGTTTATAATATTGAGTCATCCAATTGAAGAACAAGTTATGGACTTCAATTTATTCCAATTTTTGTTTATTTGTTTTGTTCTTCAGTAAAGCTTTAGGTTTTTCGTTATGTGGAAGTTGTTCTTTGGTAAATCACTCAATTTTTTTCCTTTTATTTGGATCCTTTATTATTTATCATTTCTAGATGCTTTATTTTTCTTGGCAGTTTTCACACTATCTTAAAGAGGCAGTTGTTCTTGAACAATTATTTCCACTTTCCCAATGACAAACACAGATACTTTATTAAAAAGCACCACAGCAACCTTGTGTCAATTTTAGCCTGTCTTTATTAGGAAATGTTCCCAAAGATAAATATTGTGGCCTAGAGCACAGCCATTTTCTCACTTGAAAAAACACAGCTTCAATCCATTTTCCATCTGGGCTGTTTTTGAATAGAAATCGAGAGACACATTTCAATGTGAAATCAATTCTAAATAGAGACAGAATCAACCATCAGGGTACTGCACTGAATGTCACAACTGTGAGCCGAACAGTTCATTACGTCCTAGAAAATTATCCAAACTTTACAGATAAAACCATCATTCAACAGAAACTATTATCCACACAAGTATAGCTCAGAATCATTTAAAGTGATAGACATGAGGAAAGGGAGGAACACAGATAACTCGAAGTTTCTCCACCTTGTTATTTCTTGTGATGCATAAGCAATTAAAATTAAATAAGGCCATTATATATATTAACATAAAATCAAAGTCATTTTCTCTAGAAACTTCAGTCCTCAAAAGAATTCCAGGAATACTTGACTTGATATTATTTTTACGGTGCATTTTTAACATAATCTTCTTGTAATTAAAATGCCAACAGGGAAAAGTGATTTTTTGCTAAATAGTGACTGTTGCAGACTTATTTTAAATAGTTTTTCTGCAAACAAGTTCTTAACCTGGTAAGACGGTTCTTACCTGGTAATAGTTCTTAACCTGGTAAGAAAACCTGGTAGACTTATTCTCTCCCCTCTTGTTCTAATTTAAAAGCAACATCACAAAAATACTCTCTGCTCAGTTTTCAGCTCCTTAGACCTGTCCCAAATCAAAGGTATTGTAATTGGCTATTGTCACAACCTATACTGTCCTTTAGATTTGGTGCAATGAAATTTTGCTTTGGGTCTCAATTAGGAGCCAGCATGTATGAGTAAGAATCATTTCTTAAATCTTTCTTTTAAAGTTATTTCCATGAAGGAGGCATTATCTGAAATGGAAATGGGGTTTTTGAGGTTATATAACTCAAGAATGCTAGTGAGCCCATGATGATAACTCCTTTCATTTTAAAGAATTTTTATATAGCAAAAAAGGCACAGACTAAAACTAAAATGGTTGCCTTTTTTAAACTTTTTTTTTAAGTTGCCAATGGATCTTTATTTATTTTATTTATTTCAATATGTCTGCATGAGAATCAAACCCAGTACCTCACACACTGAGCCACAACCCCAGCCCCTATGGGTTGCCTTAATTTATCCCTATAAAATTGACTTTGAGTTTTTTTGGTAAGCCAGTGATCTTGGAAGTGACTGAAGAGAAATACATGTGAAGACGATGTGGTTTGGTACAGCCTTTTTTGGAATAATTTTGCATATTCTTTGACCCAGGAATTTTAATTCTAGTATTACTCCTAATGAAATAGTCGTAAAAATTCACAAAGTACTATACGTGATGAATAAATTATGTTCGTTGTAGCATTGTTCATAATAATGAAATAGTGGAAACCATGCAAATGTCTGTAATAAAATAATTGGTTACATAAATTTCACATTCTGGGAAACAAGAGCCATTAAAAATGATGATATAAATCTGCATTATTTAAATACAAAAAGGATAACAGTCTCACAATGTCTGCATTATCTAACCCAGTGGTCCATTTTTTGTGTGAATTAAACTCAGTTCTTCTTGGCCTTCTTTTCTGAGTGGTTATAGGACACCACATCCTCTGGCTTTCCCCAGCCTTGCAGGTTGATTCCCTCCCCTCCTGTTGAGGTACTCCAGCTCCTCTTCTCTTTTTATACTACTCCAGAGAGCTCTATAAAAAACATATGGAGTGATAAGCATATAAATCAGGGCAATTCTCAGATCCAAATCTCTGGCCAAGCCTTCTCTCCCAAACTCCAGATCTATTTTTTCCAGCTGCCTACAGAGCAGAGTCACCTGGATGTTTAAAAAAAATGCCTAAATAAGTCCAGAATGGATTTCCTAGTCTTCTTTCAGCAACTGTACACACCCGCAGAATTCCCCATCTTAGCTAATGGCAGCTACACCTTTCTAGCTGCTTGAGACAGAAATCTTTCAATCATTCTTAATGCCTCACACCCTCCAGCTGCTGTCAACAAAACTTGTTGGCTCTTTCTTCATTCCATTGCCATCCGGGCCAGAGCCACAGTCATACCTCATCCAGCTTCCTGCACTGGCTCCTAACTGGTCTCTCTGTTTTCAACCCTGGTCCACCTGTCCTCCAGTCTATTCTTAGTCCATTAGCTGTATTTTAGTATGTGAGTCTGACCCCGTTACCTCTCTGTCTGAGGTCTACAGTGGGTCTCCATTTCACTTACGGCCTGTTTTCCCATTGCTCTTTCCGGTCACCACAGGCCTTCTTGGTATTCTTTGAACCAACAAGGCATGTGACAAAGGGCTTTGAACTCAGTTTGCATTTTAGCTCAATTACTAAGTATATCCACAAACTTTAGTTTCCAGTCTACAGAATGGAAATCCCCTTGCCCATCTCCCTCACAGGATAAAGGCAGAAGTGCTTTGGAATCCAACTGTCTTCTTTATGAACAAGAGTTATTATAATTTTCAAATCTGACCTCTGAAACCGGTCTTGCTTTGTTTAATGATTCCTTGCTATTTCTAGTCTCCTGTTCACAATCAATTCGGACAACATCTAGTGTGTGATTTATTTTATACCAGGTACTCTGAGGAAATGACAGTAGCCAGGTCGTGGTCTCTCAAAGAATTGGCATTCCAGAAATGTGACAGTACATAAAATATGTCAGGTGCTCTGAAAAATACAAAGCATATGTGAAGTACAGTGGGGAATCATGGAATAATGTTGAATTTTCCCAGGTTAACTAGGAGATAGGAGACCCAGGAGCTTTCAAAAGTTGTAAAGAGTTGATCTTGTACTGAATCTTAAACCACAGTAGATAGAGTTAGGTAAACAGGTTGGAGAAGAACAAATCTTCCTGGCCACACCCATCTCATGGGCTTCAAGATACCCTGTGGACTGGGGTTGTGGCTCAGTGGTAGAGTACTTGCCTAGCATGTGTGAGGTAATGGGTTTGATCCTTAGCACTGCATGTAAATAAATAAAGGTCCATCAACAGCTAAAAAAATATATATATTTTAAAAAAGATACCCTTTATCTATGATGATTATAATTAATTCCTCTTGGGATGATTATTTCTTCAGTTTTTGTCTTAACCACCAAATTTAACTACCCAAAAGGACTTTCTGTTTTTCTTATTCATTTATGTACCCAAGAGTTAAGCATAGTCCTGGGCCTGAAGGAAGGGAAGGGGGGAGGGAAGAAAGAAAGGGTGAGGTAGGGAAGGGAGGCAGACATGTCAAGGTTAAGAGCACAGGTTTGGGATCTGTGGCCCTGATTTAAGTCCTAGCTTTACCACTTAACAGTTGTTTGGTTTGTAACAAGTTTCTTAATCTCTGTGAATTTATCTCGAAAATGAAGATAATAAAAGTTGTTTTGCACAGAGTTCTTAAGGATTTAGTGAGATAGTCCTTAGAAAGGGCTTAGCACATTTTCTGGCATATGTTTAAGCACTACTCCTATCTTCCAAAGTTGTAGCCACCAGAAGCCAAATGACAAGGATGCTTTTAAAACAAAATTGAGGTCTTTCTATCTCAACAGTTCAAACATTTAAGCATCAGAGAAACTTAGGTTTTTGTTTTATTATGTTTGTTTTGTTTTGCCACTAAGGAGACAGAGAGATAAATAAATATAAACAGAATATGTATTTAATTTTAATGGCTTCCTTTGATTTCCAAAAACATAAACAAGACAATTTGACTCCTACAATTGAGGATCTATTACCATCGGTGACAATGCAGGCAACAAACTTCTTCATCCTAGTTGACTCAATTTGGAGGCACTTGTATTTCAGGGTTGTCCTTGGCTATCTTTCTGACCCAAGCGAGGATATTCAGGATCCAGTGAGTGACAAGTTCTTCAAGGAGGTGTGGGTTTCAACGGCAGCTCGAAATGCTACAATTTATGATAAGGTAAACTTGACCTGAGTCTCTCCCTGCCCTTTTTTCCACTGACTCTCATCACAGAAAGAGCATCATTATTTCTGCATTTTATTGATACGGAATATTCTTAATGAGTTTTAAAAGAAGGTTATAAAAATACTTCTTTGTGAACATTGAAAAGCAAAGATCAAAAAGCATCAGTTCAGAAGCGACTTCAGTGGCATCCTGTCCTCACATTTGATGCAGGAATCTCATTATGAGCATCCTTGGTGCATGGTTACCCAGCCCTTGAACGTGAAGAGAAGAGAGGCAAATGGGATCCCCAAATGAGTCAGACGTGGGTTCAACCCAGCTCACCCAGGGGCTGGGGATATAACTTCTATAGAATGACATAACTTTCTTGGCCTTCCTTTCCTTCCTATAAATTGGGAGGGATATTCATCAGAATAGTTATGTGGATAAAAAATTTTCTCTTAAATGTATTTAGCACATCACGCCTAGTAAATAGTAGCCATCCTGATGATGAAGTATTGTTGTGTTTTGCTTTATCTTTAATAATTAAGATGTGGTTTAAGAAGAAGAAGCCATAGTGCCCATGGAGGTGTGGACTTAAGAGATGTCTTTTGTTGGACTGCTCTAATTTTCAGAAAAGTGTTTTCTACCCAGCTCCATTGGATGCGTAGCAAATGTATCTCCTGGCAAGTATTATCCATCAGTTACGATAAAGATTTTATTTAAAAAATCAAGCATTGTCTGATAATGGAAAGATTACCTGTGAAGTAGCCAGCTTCCAGTCATGGAAAATATTCAAGCTGAAATACCTCAGCCATCTATGAGAAGCTGGGAAGGAGTATAGTATATTCTCCTTCATGACCTTCAGAGTTCCTTCCAGTGTGGAAACATCATCTCTCTCCATGAAATGTGATGAATATCTATATCCTTATTTTATACTGAGGACTCAAGACCATGATCAAATTGGTCATATGCAGGGAGTCCTTTAAAATATGATTTTACAAATGGAAGGCACAGTCTTTTTTAGCCCCTGGATTGTTGAGAAAACGGTGATAAAAGACCTTTTGGGGACACTATGATAAATCTGAATATGGACCTATCTTAAATGACATTATGGAATTCATTTTCTTTGGTGTGAGAATGGTACTGTGGTTACACAGGCATATGACCTTATGCTTAAGAAATATACAGGAATAAGAGGTTATGATGTCTGAAACTCAATTTTAGTCAGCAAAGTGTTACATGTTAGCAGCTGATAACATTAAGTAAAGGTAAGGACATCTTTCAAAATGTAAAGCCAGAGAAAATATAATAATGCAGCTTTCCTCTTAGGCCAGAACCACCAGTGAAATTCAGGGATGATTATTATCCAAAAAATTAACCACCACATGGGGTGACATCAGTGCAGTTCCTCACCACTAGCTTGACTTTATCCTGTGATTAACGACCAGTATAGATGAATGATAAGGATCTAGCTATGGCTTTCTTAATTGGAGTAAGTGTAGCAGTTGCTCTGTGGCAAAGAGCAAATCTTAAGTCTGTGCTTTGACATGAAACGTATGTGTTTCAGCGGGACGCCGTGGTGCACACCTACGATCCCTGCAGCTCGGGAGGCTGAAGCAGAAGGATTATGAGTTCAAAGCCATTAAGTTCAGCAATTTAGCAAGGCCCTAAGCAATGCAATGAGACCCTGTCTCTAAAAAATAAATAAGAAAGGGCTGGAGATATAGCTCAATGGTAGAGTACCCCTGGATTCAAGCCCCAGTACAAAAAAACAAAAAACAAAAAATCGCGTTTTATAAAACAAAGAATTTGCCTGTTGGAATGTGTGTCTTTCTTTGAAAACTATACTACATTTCCAATCTGTGTTTTATTCAGGTGTTCCGGTGCCTTCCCAATGATGAAGTACACAATTTAATTCAGCTGAGAGACTTTATAACCAAGCCCATATTAGCAAAGGAAGATCCCATTCGAGCTGAGGAAGAACTGAAGAAGATCCGTGGGTTCTTGGTGCAGTTCCCCTTCTATTTCTTGTCTGAAGAGAGCCTACTGCCGTCTGTTGGAACCAAAGAAGCCATAGTGCCCATGGAGGTGTGGACTTAAGAGGTGTACTCATTTGCAGCCAAGGACTTCCACCCTGAAAACCACACTGCGTGCAGTGACTTCATGGGGACCTCACAGCCACAGCCAGGCCTGATGCACTTTTGTGTGCAACACGTGGACCCTTTGGAATGGCCGGGAGGGGTCACAATCGAACTGATGTAAGGACACTGAACATCAGCAAGGCTTTGTCGGTCCTCCTGTCCATCCTCATGAGCGGAGGCTACTCTCTCATAGGTAGCATGCACTCGATAACTTAAAACACATACAGGAATTCCATAATGTATACCCCAATCTGTTTCCTTTGCTAACAAGAATTTACCTGTAACCGTAACTGTAACTGTGATGAAGTTTGCCATATATTTGCCCTTTTCTCTCTGATCTTCCTTTGTATATATCCAGTATCTGTGGGACCTGCCCTCATCTTGTAGTCTGCACAGCACTGTTTGAGATATCATTTATTGCTAGAAGGTATTAGGGAGCTGTTTCAAAATTCTTCAAGGTTATGTGTGATGCCCTTGCCCATCTGGTCCTGAAGTAGTAGCATCCAACCCAGGATACGGTCATTATTCCTTTTCAGTCACTGTAGGGACAGAACAGACTTCAGTCTACCCGGCAGCCTGTGTCAGGTACTTCTGATAGCATTGACAATATATCTCGACATCGCAGAACAACAGGAAGGAATTAAATTCCTCCAATATTGGAGGAGAGATTTAACTTGGCTCCCAAAGACACCGCAAAGATGTGTCCTTGTGACAGAACCCACCTGATCAAATTTGAAAACGTGTAGGATATTCGATTACACAGCAACCAGATAAAAGAGTACACAGCCTTCAGAAACTCCAAGATGTCAGCAGGAATCAGATCCAGATAAGAAAAGAAGATCCCCTTAAAGTCCTGTAAAAAAATTTCCTGACATCTTTAGCCACTGGATTGATTGAAATTTGAATTTCTCTGTTTCATAATTAAACCAGTGAATGCAATTTGTCTTTCAAGAGAATCACAGGCTTCATAAATCCTACCAAGTTAATAAGTAGGAAGCTCACCTTATTTGACATTAAACTCTCCCAGTATGCTATCTTCCTTAAGAAAAAAAAATAATTGATGATAAAATATGTGCTTCGTTGCTTGCATTATTAAATGTACATTAACATTCCACCAGGTCTTCTGAAAAAGTTATGATACTTTCTAATTCACATTGTCCTAGTCTGTGAATTGTTCTGGAAACCCATGTCCCCTTTCAGATGGCGTGGTAGACCAAAGCTCTAATTTTTCTAGGCAGAACTACTACTCTGACAGCCCCAAGAGGTAAGGTAGGTTCCCAAGAGGCCTGTGACCATGGAACATGGTATAGGTGTGGGCATTACATACATCAGTGGGTTGCCAGGACAGAACCTCCTTTGGGTTGCTCTTCAAACAAAGCACCCAGTTCCTGTTTTTGTGAGCTAATATTCCAGTCAAAAAGATTATACAGGACCACAAAGTCAGTGATATAGCTTAGTAGGAGAGAGAGAGGGTCACACTCAAGACAGGATTTCACAGCTAGAGATCATTTCCCAAGTAAGGTGGGATTTTGTGACCAACAATGGAATTAAATGTTTTTATGAATAAATAACTTATTTCTCATAGCAAAAGATGGTAAAAGGACTTCACTCTACAGCCATTGTAAATAAGATATCTTATATTGCTGGAAGAAGTTAGATTGGCATTCGAAGTATTGAGTGTATGTAGAATACCTAAGAATTTCTTTTATTTAATCTTAAGTATTTTTTAAACTTTAGAACAGTCAACAAACTGGCTCTTGATTTTGTACAAGATGTTCTCATAAAACCATAGAAAATGGAAGGGCCTGAAAGGTCCATTTTCCTTAATAAGCCATTTAATTCAAATGCTCCCTATTTTCTAGATGACGAAACTGAGGCTCAGACTGAATGAAGGACTGGCTTCAACCCACCCAATATATACATGGTGGAACCACATTCTGTTCTTGGCCTCTCTTCACTTCATCCAATACCCAAAAATAACAATATATAATAAATAGCTTTCAGATGGTATAGATTTAAGCTATTTTGAAGGTTGTAACCTTATGTATTCATGTGTTGTTCACCTAGTAGAATGGAAGCTCCACAGGGCAGGGACTTCACTGTATGTTGATCACAGTGTGTTCCCAGAGCCTGGACAGTGCCTGGCTTATAGAAGATGTCAGTCAATGTTTGTGGATTGAAAAAAAAAATGAGGTAAAGGAGAAAGCTATGAGATGAAGAAAATTACTGCATCTTGGGCAAGAAATCACTGCTGGTTTCTATGCATCTACTCAAAGGCAAGATGCAGATCTGGGAAGAGGCAACAAGATTTCCATGGAGGGATCATATGGAAAATTCAGTGCAATAATTGCCTCTTTTGCAGTAGCCGTTTACATAGTGCAACATTCTACCAAGAATACATGGAATGTGGGCATGAGATGTACTGTATGAACTAATTACCTGTCATTCTCTGACACCACAACTAATTGCTAGAAATTCAGATAATTTAACATTGCAATATCTGATAAAAACTTTAAAGTGTAAATAATTTAAAGCCTTGAAAAGCTATGATGATTCTGTTCAACATTTCAAATTGACTATACTCTTTTGAAATGCCTATAAATGCCATACCTGACACTCTGCTAATCTCTGTGATTTTTTTTTCTGCTTTTGAGAAGGAAAAACATCTGTTTTTATAAGAAATGAAAAGTGGGGAGGGGTAATGCCCATTGAAGCTGTTCAGATGGGCCAAGCATAATCATTGGAGGGAATCTTCACATGGCAAGTCGAAGGCAGACTATCATTCTCAATCAAGGTCCAGTTACAACTCACCCTGCAGTGGATTGTTCTTAATTCTGAGCCATAGTGTATTACTGAGGGGTGTGGAGAGCTGATCATTAGATAACTGAGGAGCATATTGTAAAAACAAAATACTTATTTTCAAAGCACCTTTGTAGCTACTCAAAAAATGGCAGTTCATTTCTTACATAAGAACTTGGTACATGATATAATGAATTAGTCTTTTAGACAGCAATAGCAAGCTGGGAGGACATTTTGCAAATGTGAGACTGGGGAGAATAGATTTTATGTGTGTGTGTGTGTGTGTATATATATATATATATATTAAAGAATCTATACCCCTTATTTCTTAATCCATCAACTTCTACCTCTATTTGGAGCACCTCCTTATTATGTAAAAATTATTTTAGAAAACAAGAAAAAGGTTCCTTAAAAAAAAAAAAAAAAAATAAAATTAGGCCTGGCATTAGCTCAGGCTGCCATAATGAGATGCCACAGGCTGAGTGACTTCAATGACTGAAACTAATTTTTTTCCTACTTCTAGAGGCAGGAGGTCTGAGATCAGGGTTCCAAAATGGTCACTTTCTAGCAAGGCTCTTTTCCTGGCTGTAGAAGGTGGACATGTCACTGTGTGAACCCTTCTTTGAGCAAGGGAGACCAACAAGCTCTTCAGTGTCTCTTCTTGTAAGGACACTAATCCATCAGCAGGGCCCCACCCTCAGGCCTCATCTGAATAACTGGCTCCCAACCCTCCGATCCCCGAGCATCATCACCTTGGAATTAGTGCTTCAATAAACGAATTTAAAGGAGGAGAATACAAATGTTCAGTCTATGACAAGCCTCTGCAATAAATCTCATGTTTAACTCATAAGTGACTGCCAAAAATTTTTTCTTTTTAACGCAGGTCACCATTCTTTTTAGCTTTCCTGATCACTTGTAGGCCTCATCCCTCTCTGCCTCTCTTGTATAAAATGAGTAAAAACTAAAGGATTTTGAGTGTGTCTAGGAATATATTTTCATGTCCTTAGATTTTCAGGTCAATTACTCTGGCAGTTTTGAAATCTTAAAACAAGTTTACCCAGGCCTTTAAAAAGTTCTTGAATCTAAAAATTTGCCAAAGAAGGAATTCATCAGCATCTATCCATAAAATAAATGTAGGAAAAAAAATCAATGGATTTGTTTACTTTTAAAGATGGACAAGTATATAAGGTGATTACTAATGGTAATTTAAAATTCACTTTTGAGATATTCCCGGCCTTCACTTGAAATTTGGAAAGATTCATTAAAGGGATAAAAAATTGTGTGGCCTAGCTCGACATGGGGGCATACACCTATAATCTCAGCAACTTGAGAGGTTGAGGTGGGAGAATTGCAAGTTTGAGGCCAGCCTAGATAATTTAGCAAGACTCTGTCTCAAAAAACAAACAAACAAAAAAGACTCAATGATAGAGCTCCCCTGGGCTGGGTTCAATCTCCACTACTAAAACATACACACGACTTAAGTTTCATAGGTTTTTTAATTTCTCTTTCCTACCATTTATGATTTTTAAGTTAAGAAGTAATCAAATATTGAATAATGAAGAATGTATTGCAATAATTATTTTAAAGTTCAAACAAAAAAAAAAAATGGCCTTACCTACCTTTCCCTATTCCCAAGCAACAGTATTTCTTCACTTTATTCTAGACAAGTGCATTAAATGAGTGTCATCATAAATCTGCTTGACTCTAGGAAATACAACATCATCTAATGTATATTTCACTTGGATTATTCACATAAATTGGATGGAATCAAAAGTACTCATACTCTCCACTTTAAAAATTCATATCAAAGTATTGCAGTCAGAGCACACTCACAGGGACATAAAAAGTAAATACTAAGTGGTGGATATCCATTCAGAATATCCAGATATTGCAGACAGAACTGGCACCCTAGCCTCTCGTTTAGCATATGGTTTGGCAAATTAAGTCTGGTGTCCTGTTTTTGTAAGTTTGTTTTGGAACACAGCCACATTACTCACTTATGTACCTTCTTGACTGTATACCCCACAAAACTTAAAATATTTACCGTCTTTAAGAAAAAGCCTGCCCATCTTTCTAGAGAATATCCAAACAGAGCATCTCAAACCAGCCAATTTGGGGGAAATTTAATTTCCTTCATCAGCAGGACTGTCAAATCTCCCTATCCCAGGGCCCAGAATCCTACAATGTGTTTACCGTAAGAACATGGCCAAGTCCTTTCAGGAATGCAAATCACATGGGTTTTAGTTCTGGAAAGAGATGTGGACAGCTACAGCAGGCTTCTCCAGCTGAGCACTCACAAACACACATGTTTGGCAATGTTTGTAACTAAAGTGTTATATAAATGATGGAGAGGACTGAGAGTTCGTATTCAGAATGAGGATTGTGCAATCTAGAAATTCTGTTTCCCTGAGTTTTCCTTCTGTGAAGTGCTGGAATGATATCCATATCCTGTCTTTGCCTCATAATCTCTGCTTACTCTGCCTGGTCCCTTTCTGCTTTCTTTTAGATATCAGTGTTCATTAATTGAACAATGAAAATTGTGAAGTCGTCAGTGTTCCTCTGGTTGAAAATGATCCCTCCTTCTGCATGTGGAGTTTTTAGAGGCAATATGCTGTATGTCTGAGACGGAGACAGAAATGTGTGCCTCTAACATCCTCTTGAGAACAGTGTGAGGACTCCCATGAAGGTCAATTGCAAGGTTACAGAGTCTGCACTCCAAAATCTTTCTCCCACAGAAGAGGTAGTGACTGAGCAAATTTCTTCTAAAAGACCAGTATGGCATTAAACATGCACACACTGAGCAGGGCCAGGGCTGTGGGTGCACCAGTGAACATGCAGACCAGGTTCCCTAGGGGCTCCCAGGGAAGGTTTCCAGGTTACATTCATGGGGCTCACATTTTAGCAAACGGACAGTGCAAAGGAGCCTGAAATAAGATGCAGCTGATTGCAAGCCCTGGAAGACAGCAAAGACTGCAGTCTGATTAACACTGTTCTCTGAGGACACCAGAGTAAGAACCAGGGAACAATTTTACCACTGCCAATAACGAAAATAATAATAGCCAATATTAGTGGCTTGGTTGACCACCGTCTCCTCATTTGAGTTTATTCCACAGTTCTACAGCTGCTGCTGTGTAGCTGAGGGAGCCAGAAATGCTCCAGTGCTCTCTGAACACAGCCTTTGCCTTCAGACTGTCCTTTATCCCCTTTCAAGACCTTGGAGCCTTACATTCAACTGCCAGGCTCATGAAACAGGTGTGGAAGTAACCAGCAAGTCAGAGTGGGACAAGCATGGGCTTCAATACCAAACTGAGCTCCTTACAAGCTCAGCCCTGCTAACTGCTGGTAGTGGGATCTCCTCATGATGACCATCTCTGAGGTCTTCAAATCCATCTATAATGAGGCCCCAGAAAATCTTCATAAAAATGTGATACCTGAAACGCAGTAGGTACTTTCTATCTCAAACCAACTGACTCCAGCAGTGGCTTTTCATTTACTCTCTGAAAGTGAGTGGGGACACCCTGAAGGAGGAGGACACACCCAGTCCAGCTGCACTCTAACATGGACTTCTTTTCACGCTTCCAGAAAACAATTGCTATGATTTGAATGTCCTCTTCAAAACTCTCGTTGATATTTCATTTCTATTGTGCCAATTTGAAGAGGGAGGACCTTTCAGAGGAGATTAGGTTATCAGGTCTCTGCTTTCATGAATGGATTTGTGCTGTCTTCTGGCAGCAGGTAAGTCCTTGCAAGAGCGTATTCTTGGTAAGAATGAGTCCAGTCTTTCTCTCCTTGTCTCTAGCTCACTTTCTCTCCCACCATGTTCTCATGTAGCCTGGAGGCCCTTGCCCGATGCTGGCACCATGCTCTTGAGCTTTCTGGCCTCCAAAACTGTAAGCCAAGTGAAATTCTATTGTTTATCAATTACCCAGTCTGTAGCTTTCTATTTCTAGCAAAAAAAAAAAAAATTTTTTTTTGACAGCCATCAAAAAATAGTCAATCCCAGGTTGAAGTTCTAAACTGGAAGGAGGGCAGAGAAATATATCTCAGAGAAGATACTAGATTTTTAAAAATCTAAATTCCTACTGTGCATCCATGGTGGGTTTCCTATTCCAGAGAAATTAACCATAAGTCTAATCTGATGCCTCATAGGACAAAGAGGGAATATGAATTTCTAAAATTCCTTTCCACGTTTCTTTGGAAAGTGGGAATTTCTCTTACTTCCAATTTTATTATCTGCTTCAAAGTTTGTAAGTTTGAGATTCTCAGGCAACATCTAGCTCACAGGCATATTTAGTTGGACCATATAATGTTGCTTTCATGAGTTTTCATATTAGATACCAAATTTTGATATCTTAAATTTTGATTCTCTGATTTTTATGAAAATTCAGAATATCTAGGAATAGAGGATCATATGCATCAATTTCTACTGGTGATGAATTGCTGTCCCCTTCACATGAGCATGTGCTGTCCAGGTCACTACAGCCTCCACCATTCCCTGTTGGGAGCTGGGATTTTGATTTATTTGGTCAGTAGAATGTGGCAGTAGTGATGATGTACAACTTTCAAACCCAGCTCAGGAGCACTACAACTTCCACTCTTACCTTTTTGCAGACTGCTATCGAGTGATAATGAGAGACCATACAGAGGGAAGACCAAACAATATCCAGCAGCAATTATCTGCTGCAGGAGCAAGGCCATGCTAGGTCATCCAGATCCAGTCACACCACCAAGGAAACCAGCCAAAGAACTACTCAGCTGAGCTCAGTCCAAACTGCTGACCCACAGAATTATGGGCAAATAAAATTGTCATTGTCTTGAGAAATGAA